CAAGGTACAGGATAGTTCTAGAAAGCAGAGGGCGTGAGAATAGTCACGTGATCTCGCTGACGCAACAGTATACTAAACTTTATAAATTATATAGGCTACACTAACGTGACGTTTAGGCGATTCGTTTAACTATTATACGTGATGTAAATTTTTTGGGGGCTGGTTAATGAAAGTGTTCCAAAACGCGACATTAATTTCTTGACGACCAAATAGTATATAAGTATAAGCAATCTAGCATATGTTTCAACAGTTTGAACGCACTGGTATGTCTTCGTATGGAATAATATGAATACCCGCTTCATCCTACAGCTGCTTGAGGTATGCGACAGTTTAACGGATGTATTATGGAAGCAACTCGTGTATACATGACTTGTTATTTTTCCAGACATAGATCCTTCTTGATTAGATTCCGTACTCTTATCTGAAATAACCTGCTTACCACGGCTGGAGTTCAACTTGCTGTTGTTTCTTTCTGGGTAGTCCTAGCCAAGTTGATTCTTATTCCTTTGTTTTCCATTACCATTAAGTATAAGAGAGACCCTCATCTTAGAAATTCTAAGTCCCCGATCTGAACATATATTTATGATCTGAGTCTATGAACATTTTCGTCAGAATGGTCTATTTTAAAAAGCGACAATTAAAAAAAAATCTAAACGTGTAGTTGTGATACATTTTGTTCCACCGCGACTTTATATTAGCTGTGGTTGCCACGTTACTTACTGATGTGCATATTCAAAATCGTTTTAAAATATAACTTACTCATCCCTTTGTAGTTTATGAGATGGCTCATAAAAGGTTTGTTAATATACTGTTTATAAAACATACCAATGATGAAATGACCGTGAAATGTTTCTCAACGTATTATAATAGTTATTGAATGCAATGGTTACGATGATAATTGAGAAAATAGAGTAAAAATGTGGGTAATACTTGTTGGAGCACATCACTGTTTGAAGAAAAAAGGAGTTTTCAAATATATTAATTAACCCAGTGTTAAAATATTATTTTTGCAACTGTTTTAACATTTTCAAATGCTAGGAAGTACATAATTATAATTATATTCCTCAGTTATTAATCAATGGAAAAGCGTTTATTTTACTAACTGGCTAATAGATGGCACTAAGTAAGAATAATCGTTTGCATGTGTACCTTCAAGCTTGTGGAATTCACTTTCCATCGAAAAGTGTCAGAGAAAGAAGTAGTATGGCATCGCTCGGGCGAAAAGAAAATGCTTATCTGGGATTAGATGCTTTACGAATGAAAACACCTTTTTTGATTGGAGTGGCTGGAGGTACTGCATCGGGCAAGGTAAATTTGTAGTTTGATGCTATTTTTGAACAAGAAAATAACAAATACTTTACAGTATGTATAAAAAATATAATCCAAATTACAATATCTAGTATTTTTGTATTAAAAAATTGAATTTCATTTTCAACTAATTGCAGCGTTTTCTGGAATTAACATTTAAAAATAAAAGCAAAGAAGAATTCGCTTTCAAGTTTCAGAAAGTTTCACGGACTTTAGCAATACGTTTACCTGATACAGCTGTTTACTATTATGTAGTGTTAATTCTATTAATGTTTTATTGTCTATATACCCAATTACTCAATTAGTGCTACTGCTAACAGTAGTACTAGTAGTAGTGCTACCATACAAGTTGTAAACAATTTTTATACTGCAATTTAATTAAAATAATTAGGGCCTACTTTATATAGTACTTGAATTGCCCAACCAAGAGCTTCAAGATATTAATTATTATTGATTACTGTTTGGTAGCTGTTGTAGTTTGTGGTAAATCATGGAGAGGTGAAACTGAAGAATGTACTGCTGGGAAATTAAATAATTAACAATTAATCAATAAATATAATAATTTAGTCAAAATTATTGGGAACTATTTATTATAATAAAATAACCATGGAAATAACTATACATCTATGATGTGCTTGAATGAATTTTCTAAAATATTTCTGTATTCATAATATACATTCATAAAAGTTAAAGCACTAAAAGTGCATACCTAAATTTATTATATACTTTTAGTGTTTGAAATAGTGTTGATGCATTAATTTGAAAGAAAATATACTAGTATTGTTTTGCCTATTTTGAGATAAGTCTCTTTTCTTTATTAAAACATTCATAAGAATGATATTTTACTAAATTAATGTATATTACAGCATGGCCATAAATTTGTATTAAAATGTTTTTAATTAATGTATGATATACATACCTACCTTATGGGCTGAAATTAGTCAAAAAATCCTTTGAAATTTACCATTCTCACTGCATGACAGAATGTGTTGTGCCTTCTCACAATATTGGTAGATTAAATGTAAATGTAACTATACCTTAATTTAGATTTAAAAAATATTTAACATTGTTTACTAAGACTAAAGTATCACACTTGCTTTTAAACTTCTTTAGTCATCAACAGTTCCTACAGGTTTCATGTATTTTGTTCCAACATCACACCTGTATTACTTTTACATGTAATTTGATAACATTGATACAGCATATACGTGTTCAAATAGTTAACATAATTGTCAAATGGTAACTTTCATGATTTTAAGTTTTCAACTTATAAAGTAATTGATGATAAATGTACAGTACACACCACTAGCAATAGTTTTACATACATTATTTGGGTTGTATTTATAACCTAACTTACAGACATCAAGAGACCAAATGGTCATATATGGCTGCTCTTGCAAACCCATCCCCAAGAAGAAGAAAACTAAAAATCAAACCCACCATTTATGGAAATCATCAATTCCCTCCTAAACTTTTGTAGATGGGAACCAACTCAATAATTTAATTGGGCAGCTTTAAACTAGGACTAAACAGTGGTGAAAGTCAGAATAAACTAAATCCAGAAAAAATATGAAGTGTAGTGCAGGATCAAAGTACAGAACTAGTTTTAAAGGTAGGCTAAATAGTTACAATGCTAGAAGTATAAGAAATAGAATAGAGGACTTTAGAACACTAGTTAGAGTAGAGATTTTGATATCATGGTCATAACTACTTTTATTCTATTTTCAAGTTAAAGATATCAAAGCTAATAGCAATGAAGTTGAATCTATTTGGGTTTCTGTTAGTGGTTATAAGGGAAGAAGGCTTGTAGTTGGAATTTGTTACAGACCACCATATGAAACTAATGAAATTAACTCTACAGTGAGATTAAGATTTCAGCTATTAATGAAGTCATAATTATGGAGGATTTTAATTTTGGAGATATAGAGTGGGAAATGTTAGAATCAAAATGTGAGAAAAACTGGTTTTTGGAAACCATTCAGAATGGTTTTCTTCACCATTTGGTTGGGGAACAATGCTGTTTTAGATTGTGTTAACTTTTAATATAGAAATGGTTGAGATGTTTTAACTGCATTTGGAGATCAGGAATTATGAGATTTTGGTTATACATTTCCAAAAAGCAAATTTTTGATGGTTGCAACAAGAATTATCTGTTGTAAACTGCAAACTGAATTAATTGGTAATAGTGATCAAATGTGGAATTTAAAAACAATATTTGAAAATCTTCCTTATAGATAAAATAAGGGGTGGTTTCAAGACCAGGTTGGCTCACAAAGGGTATAATGAATAATTTAAGAAAAAGCATTATAATTTCAAGAAGTTTAAATTGACTGCTATGGTGGGAGATTTAGAGAATCATAAAATAGCAAAGAGTTGGTTAGACAGGAAATTAAGAAATCAAAGTGGGTATACAGTGTATGAAAAAAGGTTAGATGAAAATGGAAAAATTATCAGTAAGGGTATTTTAAAATATATTAATGGTAAGTGAAATGTTAGGATGGGAGTAGGTCCTTTTATGGATGGTAAAGGAACACTCATGTTTGATGTTTATGAGATAGCAGCATTATTAAATTATACTTTTTCCTTCAATTTTCTCTAATGAAGTTCAAGCAATATTCTTCATCCTGAACAAGATAAAGATGACCACATTAATTCTGAGCTTATTGAAAAAAAAAGTGGGTATTTTAAAGAAAAGTAAGATTCCTGGGCCATATAATATGTCCACAAGTTTTGAAGGAGGTTAAGGATTGGATGTGTGAGCCACTTGTTTCTATTTTTTGTAAGTACAGAGGATTGGAAATTGGCTAATGATACTCGTCTTTTCAAGGGATGGTATAAAAATTGTCCTAGTAATTATAGACCTATTAGTCTTGCATCAGTTGTGGGAAAAGTTTTAGAAAATATAAAAAAAATGGTTGGATAATCAACATGGTTTCACTAAGGTAAAATCTTGCCTTACTAATCTTTTGGCAATCTATGAGAAAGTTACTGCTTTTGTAAATGAGGGTAAGGGTATGGATTTGGTGTATCTTGATTTTTAGAAAGTTTTTTGATATTTCACATAAAAGGCTTAATAAAAACTGATTGTTATGTGTTTGTTGGATAAGTTAGCTAATTGGATAGAAAAGTAGAAGGGTGGAAGAAAGCATAGAGCTATTATAAATGGAGTTCAGCCAAACTGGATTAATTTCACAAGTGAGGTACCTCAGGGCTCAATTTTAGGACCTTTACTCTTTTTGATTTACATTACTGACATAGATAAAAAAATGGTCAATAAATTGCTTTAGTTTGCTGATGGGATTAAGGTTTTGGGTGTTGTTGGCTGTGACGATGCTGCTGTTTTACAACAGGACTTAGATCAATAAATGAATAAATGGGCAAATAAATGGAAGCTGGCCTTTAATTGTAATAAATGTAAGTTTATGCATATGAATTATCATAATTTGAACTATAAGTTTAATGGGAATAACCTTAACAGTGTTGTGGAAGGAAAGGATATTGGTGTTCTGGTTAATCAGTCTCTTAAGCCATCCAAGCAGTGTGTTGAGGATGATAAGTCAAATATGATTTTAGTTTGTATCTACAGAAATACTGAATACAAGTCTAAAGAGGTTATTTATAATGCCATTGCACAGGTCTCTTGTAAGGTTATATTTAGAGCATTGTGTATTCATTCTCTGGCTCCTTGCTATATGAAGGACATTGGATTGTTGGAAAGAGTGCATAGGAGAGCTACTAGGATGATACCTTGGATAAAAGGGTTGTCACAGAAGGACAGGTTAAGATCTCTGAAGTTTATCTTCGAAAAAAGAAGAGTTAGGGAGGAGTTTATTAAGGTGTTTAAGATTGTTAAGGGAATTCATAGTGTAGATACTTCTTTTTTGCACTTAGTAGTGAAAATGATAGGACTAGGGGACATAGATATCAATTTTTGCAGGGTAGGAGTCATCCTTAGCTAAGACAGCTTTATTTTTCTGACACTTATTTATATATTTTTCATACGGAGTGGATGCAGTAAATTTATGGAAAGGCTTAACAAATATTATGTTAACAATGTAACTAGAGAAAAAGATCTTAGCATAGTGGTGGATAAGTCACTGAAGTCATTGAGGCATAGCTCTGTTAATACTAGTAAAACTGATAGTGTTAGGGAATATTTAAAGACATTCTGATTGCAAGTTAAAAGAGATAATTATTTCTTTATGAAAATCCCTAATTGTGTCATTCTTGGAATAGTGTGTAGAGTTTTGGTCTTTTATCTAAGAGAGAGTTGAGAAGAGGCCTAGCAGGATGATTCTGGGTGTTGAAGTGTTATCTTGCTGGCATAGGATAATATGTGTTATCTTGCTGGCATAGGATAATATGTGTTATCTTGCTGGCATAGGTTAATATGTGTTATCTTGCTGGCATAGGTTAATATGTGTTATCTTGCTGGCATAGGTTAATATGTGTTATCTTGCTGGCATAGGTTAATATATCTTATTTTTATTTTTAGAAAAGATCGTTAGTAGGTGATATTATTGAAGTTTACAGAAGTATCTGTGGGATTGATAGGACAAAGGTCTTTGATTTCATTATTTTGTATTCTAAAGACAATATTGAGAGTACACAAGTTAAAGCCTTGGATTCAGAAAAGACAGGCTGGGGTCCAATTCAGACAGTTTTATTTTTGTTACAGGGTAAATAACCTATGGAATGAGTTGCTGTTGGCAATAGTGAAGGCCATCACTTTACAAAAGTGTAATAGGGAAGTGGAAGTAAATAGTCCTTTATTTGTTTATTATCAAAATTTTTGGCATCTTAGTTTTTTGACAAAGACTTCTGATTGATGTTAAGATTATACCCAAAAGGTTAATGGCATGTAGAAAATTCATTACCAGTTAAGAAGTGGATGTAAAATTAGAGTTAGAAAGGAAGTCATGGCTGCAAGTCCTTTTTTAGAACTAGTGGAGTCTACCAAGGGTATACTTTGTAATATATTTCCTTTTTATACATTTTTT